CAGCCTGGCGTGAACTAGATCCCCAGCGCACGACTGTGCCGCCAGGGCAGTGTCATCAGCATAGAGATAGATTTCACAGTTGCTGGGGCAAGGGACGTCATGAATAAAAAGTGAATAAAGGACTGGTCCAAGAACCGAACCCTGAGGGACACCGGCTTTGATGGGCCGTTTTGTCGACATAACGTTATTAATTTTGATCCGAAATTTCCTACCCTCAAGGAAGGATTTCAAAAGTTTTAGGAGCCAGAATGGGAAGCCCTTATGGATCAATTTGTATAGAAGGCCCTTGTGCCACACCTTGTCAAATGCCTTTGAGACATTCAGAAGCAAGATGCCAGTACTTTCGTTACAGGTGAACCCCCTGGTTACTCGTTCAACAAGCCTGTAGATCCGTACTATGCTCAGACCAAAATCCAAATTGCACGTCAGAAATCACATAGTGGTCTGCCGAGAAATTTTCAAAGTGACGAGAATCACCTTTTCAGCGAGCTTAGAAGGAGCTGACAGTAGACTCATGGCGCGATAATCGTGGGGGAATATTGAATCCACCTTCTTTGGAATCATTGTGACATCAGCGGTCTTCCACGCCGTTGGAAAGTGCTGGGTCCTTAGCATGGCATTGATTATTGCCACGAGATAAGTTAAGGACGCAAAAGTAGCTTCAACGCCTTATTAGTGATTCGATCCTCTCCAGGTGCTTGACGCACCTTGAGGTCTTCAATATGACCTTGGAGCTCTGGCGTGCAATGCGTAGTCTCAGGAGATTCCGCTGATGTGCCATGCAGCTCTTCTGTTAAGGAATCTTCTGAAGATTCCTGTGAGAAAAAATCACTAAGGGAGGCACTACTGCCACTGACGCCGTTGGCCCTAAAATATCTCCTGACGGATCTTAAAATATGTTGTTCCTCGTCGAGGTCATCATCAAGGTCATAGTTGGGAGAGAACTGACTATCCATTGCATCAGCGAAAACCTCGACCTTTTCCTCGGTCCTACAGACTATGCCCCTAGGACCGTGGATGTGCGGAAGTTGTTCTCGCTTTCCGTTTCTGAGCGACCTTGCAACTTTCCAGAGAGGAATACTTGAGTCAAGCATCCCCGGCAGAAAGTCGCTCCATTGCTCATTTCTCGCTCCATTTCTCACTTAATGAACAAGATCCGTTGCTCTGTGAATGTCATCTGGGTGACAAGACCTCTTCGCTTGCTTAATTGCAGCGCTTTTGTCAGAAATTTTCTGACGAATGTCTACAGGGAGAATTCTGCTCAGTTTTAGACATTGTTTGGAGGAGCTAAAAATTATAGGTTGGAAGCTGTATGCGGTAAATGGTTGTAAATTGTTGCATATTTGGTATTAGTGAAAGACCTTGTATTGTTAAGAGGCTGCTGATCTCAGTGATACTATGGACGTGTTAGGCATATTGAGTCACACATATAAATCTGCCCTGGAAACAGAAATATTTGCTTTATACAGGGTGATTCACAAGTCGTGACCAAAAATGAAACATCATACGCAGGACCACATTTTAAGGGGGTCTCTTATGTAATATTTTCTCTTCGAGGGCTTCATTAAAAAGATACGGGACGGGGCCTTGAAGTTTATACATTTTTTTAATATCTTCAAAACTGGAGTGAATTAAAATTTGGTATGTGGATTTACCTGAGTATTGTCCACATTCGATATATCGACAACGTTTAGTTAAATCCACATATCAAATTTTAGTTCATTTCAGTTGACGGTTTTATAGATATTAAAAAAATTTATTTTATTTATACACTCCGTATATTTTTAATGAAGTGCTCGAGGAAAAATGTTACACATTAGACCCTCCCTTGAAATGCGGTCCTGTGTATGATGTTTCATTTTTGGTCACGACTCGTGAATCACCCTGTATAGTAAGTAAGGTCATCGTATCTGAGTGAACCTACCTAATCAAGATTCAATTTCGCCTTTCGAAACGATTTGACTTATCCCTTCTCTTTAAAGCCACCACCGAAGGCTTAGGAAGTATACAGTCAACGTACTTGACGACATTTTGTAGGATTATTCGGCTGTTCTACATCGTGGCATAATCCAAGGCTCTGTTGTGTAGCAATCCTAGAGACATTTATGGAAAAATATCAGATTCTCTGTAAGAGGTAATTGGGTGAAGTAATGATTTAGCTGCTTTCGAAAAAGATATAATCAGTGTTGTTCAAAAACGCCCTCCTACTTATTTTTTGGAAGCTGAAATTTGACGTCATGCAATTGACGCATGGATACTATGTATTATCGTAACAGTGTAGGGCAGAAAATTTCAAGATGGTAGCTGGGCGCTATTTTGGAAGCTTCTTAAAATGGAATAGGGATCTTGTGGTATCTCAGTGTGAAGATTCTTATGAGTGCTCTATGTATAACTCTAAAATATAAAATCATTGCCTTTGAGAATGACGAACTGACAGGCTGTCATAGTTGAGCGCTTTTGTATATTGAGTCACTCATAACTCTACAATCAATCATTATTCTTCCCTTACAAGGCTCTATGCGAGTATGGAATGAAATATGGAGCATATTTTAATGACCATTCAGATAGATCACTACACAAGGGCGGTCCGTCATTTTGAAAAATCATGATTCTAGGGTTTTAAAGTACTTAAAAATTGACGCCCAGTTGCTATCTTGAAACTTTTAACTGCAACAAGTGCACCAAGTTGAGCGTCCGAAAAGCATCCAAAAGTGTCGTATTATTTTCAGTTATTTCAAAACGAAAATAAATCCACGATACGTGACGAAACCAGTGAATCCTATGGGAAATCATGCACACCGTATAATGATTTGCTGAACTAGTATTACGTAAAATAACAGTTTCGATATCGGAAACAGCATCGGAAACGACAAAAGATACAAAGTCCGGTAAATTGGGGTAAAATTGCACATTTAAGTAACTAAGAAAATGGCACTTGGAAAACGCAATTTCGAGTATTTGAGGAGATAAACAAAAGAAACCAAAATGTTCCAAATTTATTTTTAATTTTTTCTATAGTTATTTGAGATGGGATTTAAAAATAAAAAGTACTAATGTTGCCACTTGCCCATCGTCAATTTGAAGTTACACCACTTGTCCTCAATAATAAACTTTATTTTTTATTACGGACGTCATACTGGATTTTTGCACAGTTATTTTATTATATATTCTAAATTGACATTGTCAAACCTAAGGTATTCCAAAATCTCGGAAAAAGATAAATATGTACGATTTTGGAAAAATTCGCTCCTTCCGTTTATCTCCAGGAATACTCGGAATTGCGAAACTTTCCAAGCACCAGTTTCTTTATTAACTGAATGCGCAGCTTTTCCCTCGTTTAATCGACTTTGTATCTCTTACCGAGATCCCAGTGGTGAGAGTCGAATTTAAAACATCCAGTATAGAGCAGACTTTTGGAACAAGATGTGACTGAAATATGACCTAGCATGTCTACAGGTTAAGTGAATCTTCATCATTGATTCAACAAGTCCAGGAAAAAGAGTGCCATCTTTGAACCGGTGCCACAATCCTAAAGTAAGCAGCACATGCAGCTAGTACGAACCATGCGCTCATGCGAAATCTCAGAAACTCTCACTTCACTTCAGTTTACTCAGTTTATTGTACGTTATTTTGAATCTAGCTTAGTTTGAATGAAGTGAGATTTGTTATAACTTGCAGCTTTCAGGTCAAGTTTATTTTATGTGCGAAACCTACCGAAAACAATTTGTAAGATTCTTCATTTTTGTTACAGTTATATTGTCGCAGCTATCCATGTCAATAAACTGCAAAGGTCTTTAGTCTTGAGTGCATATCCATGAAGAACTAAAAAAATGCATTTTTTTTTAGTTTTTTCTGATGAAGGTTAGCTCAGCTGTTCTTTTTGAGCTATGAACTGGTTTGACGGTCTTATCTCTTTTGAGACAGTCTCACTTTACAACCCAGTTAAAGTTATAACATCTGACAGATGCATGCAACTTTTTAGATACGGTGACTAACTTGTAGTCTTTCTGAACTTTCCGTCATTGTCTTAAGGAGGATTGACTGACTTACCCTTCAAATGATCTCAGACGAACAGAAGCTCATCTCTGCCAACCTGCCCGTTCTCATAAAGTATTCACAGCACCGCCTCAAATCTCCTGAATAAACAACGGGAAAGAATTACCGTCGTAACTAATAGCTAAAAAGGCAATAGCCTGATGATAAATCAACGGAAAAATGCATACCTAATTTTCTCTTCCGCAGTACTTCGGCCTCGCATAAATCCTTACTTTCCGCGAACCGAGCGAGAATGTTATATGCCCAGATGCGTCGTAAAGGGGATGCAGACATCATTTCAAAGGGTAATGAGGTTGTCTTTAGGGCTTTATAAGGTGATTGAGGTGACTTCTGGTATTAAAAATCGTCCATTTGGAGGACTATAAGTTAACTAGTCGTGTGAAACGAGACTGTTATATCGTTAGTCTTAAAAGGTGTTAGGCTGTTACACTCTACACTCTGCTACAGCGACAGGAGACAGCAACAAGCAAGGCAACAGGGTTTAGATGCAGTGTTTCTATGAATTAATTATTTCTAAAAACGTTCAAGCTGTCAGCACAACATATATCCGGTGTTTTAAATTTGACTCTCACCATTGGGAGATACGAAGTCGCTTATCTTGTGCCAAAGTTGCGCATTTGGTCACCAATAAAATGGCATTTAGAAAGTTTTGCAATACCGAGTATTTTCCAAAATCACTTTTATTCTCTTCCTGACTTTGATATGATATTTTGAAATAAAAGGCGGATTCACATTGCCACCTCTTCTCCTCTGCAACATGGTATAATTAGAATTTTCATATGACGTTTCGTTTATTTTCCCCAATTATGAACCTTATTTTATAATATAGTGCCATATTGGATTTTCGCACTAGTGAGAGTTTTTAATGTCGGTTCAAAAATGTACAGGGTGTCCCAACCGAGCAAGGACGAAGTGTTGCTCCTAATGTTGTCTAAGATGGTGAGCCGCTAGTCGATCAATACTACTTGCAGTAATAAATATATATTCCAACAATCTTAAGTAACAAACAAATATAACGTCTTATTGCGCTGCGTTGAATCGGTTGAGAGCATTGGCCACTTGGCGTCCTGTCATCTTCCCCCAGCCACCGTCGATCTGCCGGTCAGCAGCGACAGACATAGAGTTGGACTGCACGGCCATCCTGACGTCACGTTCGTCCCGAACGTCTGAAAATATTAAGTTATTTAGGAAACACCTATACCTATTGCCATCAACACTATTTGCTATCGAGGACGACCATTCGTCATCGAGAGCAAAACTTGCCATTGAGGGCGTAACAGTTGCCATCGAGAGCAGAACAGATGCCATTGAGGGCGTAACATTTGCCATTGAGAGCAGAACAATGCCATTGAGGGCGTAACATTTGCCATTGAGAGCAGAACAGATGCCATTGAGGGCGTAACATTTGCCATTGAGAGCAGAACAGATGCCATTGAGGGCGTAACATTTGCCATTGAGAGCAGAACAGATGCCATTGAGGGCGTAACATTTGCCATTGAGAGCAGAACAGATGTCATTGAGGGCGTAACATTTGCCATTGAGAGCAGAACAGATGCCATTGAGGGCGTAACATTTGCCTTTGAGAGCAGAACAGATGTCATTGAGGGCGTAACATTTGCCATTGAGAGCAGAACAGATGCCATTGAGGGCGTAACATTTGCCATTGAGAGCAGAACAGATGTCATTGAGGGCGTAACATTTGCCATTGAGAGCAGAACAGATGCCATTGAGGGCGTAACATTTGCCATTGAGAGCAGAACAGATGCCATTGAGGGCGTAACATTTGAGTAGTTCATTACTCACCTTATTGATTTTGAACTTTGAAGGGTTTCATGTGTTCCACACCTACCACAGCTTGATATGGTCGCCTTGACCTCTGTGTGAAACGATCTTCTTGCACTCTATACCTGTCATTGGGTAGAACCTCAACTATCTTGAATGGTCCTCTAAACTTAGGACGTAACTTTTTACTGTCTTCATTCGCTGAAAAGCTGGTTACTTTAGTTAATACCACATCTCCCACCTGGTACAACCTAGGTAGAGAACGTTTAGTGTTAAATTTTAAATCTTGTTCGATTCTATTGTGTTCCAGACGTTTGGCTGTCTCTTTTCGGATTTTTGTAACATCTAGAGTTGTTTCTATATCGTCATCAGGGTATTTGTCACTATCAGTCCGTAGTTGGAAACCAAACATTACTTCTGCGGGCGTGTTTTGTGTAATACGGTGTCTAGTACTATTCAGTCCTTGTTGTATATGTGAAAGATTAGTATCCCAATTGTCTTCACTTGTTTGCGAACCAGATGTTGCTAAAGCGTCTAGAACTCTTCTGTTCGTCCGCTCACATTGACCATTGCCTCTTGGGAGACCAACAGCTGTTGTAAATAACCGTATCCCTCTTGCAGCAACAAATTCCTCGAAGGCCTTTGAAGTAAACGCAGATCCAAGATCCGTGATGAGTCGTCTTGGGTTACCGAGCATCGCGAACATTTCAGTTAACATTTGAATTACGTATTTTGCAGATGTATCAGGAACTGCTTTTAAATACACAAATTTCGAAAAGCCATCAACAACAACTATTAAATACTTGTTTCCCTGTTTTGTGTTCACAAAAGGTCCTAAATGATCTATATGTAGTGTGTGGTGTGGTCTAGCATACTTTGGGATGGAGTGAAGGTACCCGGGTCTTTTGCCCCCTTTATCTTTATGATATAAACAAGGTAAACATGCATTTATGTATTTTGTTATGAAATGCCTCATTCTGGGAAACCAATACCGTTGCTTAATTTTCTCTAACGTTTTATCAACCGCAAAATGACCTATATCGTCATGGTTTGCTTTGACGATTTGCCATCTACACTTCTTTGGGACTACCCATCTTCTCCCATAAGGTGTTAACTTATAGACTTTGTTCCCCCTTAAATCGTAATTATTAAAAACATCTTTGTGACTCTGAGCATCCCCACTTAAAAGAATATTTTTTAACAGTCCCTATACCCATAAATCCTGACAATGTTACCTTATCCCCAAGAGGTTTCAACGTTAACCCTAGCTCCTGCACTATTGCCAATTTTATTAGAGAACAATCACTACCAAAATCCACAAAAGCTTCTATTAAATTCCCATCAAGAAATATTTTTTTTGAAAAATTTTGAAGGTACTATTCTGACTTTTAATTAATTTGACCTGTTCAATTTTTTGTTTTACTTTTGAAGACTTAGTTGAATTATCCCATCTGCCTGGTTCACTTGAGTTCTTTCGTTTCTTGAAACAATTCACCTCAATATGCCCCTTAATTCTGCAAAAATTGCATATCTTATTTCTATGTTTACAATCATTCCGCTCGTGACCTCTGTTGCCACATGTGGTGCAATTTACATTTTGATGTATCGTACTTGACCGGACTATATTGTCAGTCAATCGACCACTTTGATTGATTGACTGTTGCACCTCTGATTTTAACGGTTTGCCCCTACCAGTATAAGTTTTGTTCTTCAGATATGCCGCCAAAATATGAGGATTTCGAATATTTGCTGCCTCCACAGCTGATGTTATATTAACGTCATTTATAGCACCTATAATTAATGATACCTTGTCACAATCTGAAAATCCTGCTCGTAACTTATTTATTCTCGCTATGTGTTCAAAACAAAAATCATATAACGAACAACCTTCGCTGGGTCTATGATTTACCATTTCCATCAACAGTTGATAAGCATTACGTGTACACTGGAATGTATTTTTCAATATATCCTCCCACTGGCCCCAAGCATAACTAGACCACCCCAAGTCACCCTGAATGAAACTGTCATACCAGGTTTTGGCTGTACCCTTGAGTTTATTCAAAGCATGACACTTAATAAGACTATCAGGCCACTTGTAAATATCTGCATTATATTTGATAACCTCTAACCACTCTGATATGTCATTAATTTTCGGATCAAATTCTGGAATTACCATCGAAATATGTATTCCCTGATCGGCCCTCGTAAAAGTAGAATAATGTTCGCTACTCACGGTTTCCCTTGACTTACACCTGGATCTCTTATGTTTATGCCCATTACTATTGCTAGAACTGCCGGAAGAACTACTGGTTGTTGAAGACGAGGAAGGTTCTCTTCTACTTCGTTTTCTGGATTTCCTTTGCTTTTGATTTGGCATCTTGTCCAATCTCTGAGCAAACAACAGCCTGCAGAATATTTGCTAAAATTGGGAACCACCGTAAAACACACACTTCTGATGTTGTCTAAGATGGTGAGCCGCTAGTCGATCAATACTACTTGCAGTAATAAATATATATTCCAACAATCTTAAGTAACAAACAAATATAACGTCTTATTGCGCTGCGTTGAATCGGTTGAGAGCATTGGCCTCTTGGCGTCCTGTCATCTTCCCCCAGCCACCGTCGATCTGCCGGTCAGCAGCGACAGACATAGAGTTGGACTGCACTAAGCAAAAACTACTCAAATGAAACTATTTATCCATTAAAGTGTACGGTATTTGGAGACCCACATAACGAAGTACTATTATTAATGTAATGCCTCATTTTTTATTACATATTCTGATATACCTTTTAAAAGGGGATGTTAGTATAATATATCTATGATTTTTAACAATTAGATATTGAGCTATTGGGTATTTCTTCTAAAAAAACCGTCAAAGTACCTGCTATCTTGATAGTTGGAGTAGTGAATCTTGTGACAGAGATTTTTTTTAAAATTGTTTATAATTTGGTATCAAATTTTGGGGAAAAATGCGTTACTCAATTTAGTTCCCAATTTGACTGCCAATTTCAATACTGTCATGTAAAGAAATTTTTCTAATAAATTTTGTAGGAAATCATGCGCAGTCGGTAGAAAAAACTATCACTGTCAACTTTGAACTTCCATTTGTCACGTCAAAGACATACTTATCACACTTTTCGTTGCCGCTTGCTATCTTATCACTTTATTCGTGATGTTGATTACAACAAAGGTCTCGACTATATTTCTTACGCTTTGGGTGCTTTTATAATAAGCAATATTCTTCTTATCACAACTTCAATTCTCGATTTTGTTTACTGCTTTGATTTTGCACGCTATGTATGCCTTCGACTAGTTGCGTCAGTAGCATAAATGATTGACAGTTGGTAGTCGCATTGTACTTTGTCACCAATTGCAGCGCTATAGAGATACAGGTTTTCCAGCTAGGTTTCAATTTTCTCACTGCACTGAATGCCCTTATTTACCATTTTGACCGCACTAATTTGCATCATAATAGCTAATCAGCATTGTGTACGAAAACAAAGCAGGCACTGAGCTAGAAAATATAGGATTTCCACCCTCGCTCCTGCTCTCACACTATCACTATATCTCCGTTCAGCGCAGCTCAACTGTTACAAGTACGGTTTCTAGATATTTTTGCTTGAACAACAATGGGTTGATACATTATATTGCGTACAAGCTCAAATCAGTATCAGTATAGAAAGTGGTTACAATGAAGCTTTATTAATGTATAATGTACCTGCAATTTGAGCTTTCAGATTTTCGTTTCCAAGTCGGTACTCACAAAGCATCAGGTATCTGAAGTGGTATGATGTTTCAGGATACACCTCTCTAACTTCAAAAGTTTTATTTCCTTTGACTTCCATTGTCATTGTCAAATAAACCTTTGAAACAACTACGTTGTCTACATATTTTAATTTAATTAATTTGGAAGCAGTGAGGCGTAAGCACAAAATTGAGGTTGAAGACAGAAATAGTGACCTGAAAAAAAGGTATTTTTCTTTCAGGTAAATGCTCTGCAGATTTTGTTTAAATTTCATAACATTCCAACTGACATATTGATGATTTTAACTTTTTTAATGATTGAGTACAGACTGAATTTCACACTTTCAACTAATGTTAATGAAAATATTATTTTGTTATTATAAGTGTATGATAAAGCTGCAGCTTAAATATCAACTTAACTGCATAGATTGAAAATCTGACAGTAATATAATATTAGTAGCATTATTTTTCCAAATAAAAATACCAAGCCATTGTTTTTTTTTCAAAACGCGGAAGTTTTCGTATTTAACCTTTAATGTGCCACAAATAATTACAATTGTGTTTTTTCCTAGAGTGTATTGTTTTCGTAAAAATAAAAAGAACAGATTAGATAATCAAAGCTTTATTTCAATAGATGTTCAAAAAGACCACCATTCTGACGAATACAAGTGCGGCATCTTTCTAATAATAAACTTGTTATGGCTTGAATTTGATGAAACGCATTATCTATTCTTTCTTGTATAAAATACTGTAATAAAAAAATATAAGAATTAAGGGTTCCACTCCTCGCAAAAAGCGATTCATCTGACCACAGAACCAAATCAATAAACTCTGCATTTTGATTATGCATTTGCAGGAACCACTCACAAAAATTTCGCAGACATTGCCCATCTTGTCGATGGTAAGGATGTAAAACTTCCCGATTTAAAATTCTCCATACAAGACTTTGGGAAAATGGTAACTAGGCTGCAATCCGCCTAATACTTGTAAATCTTTGGGGTACGTTGGTGTCTGTTAGGAAATCTACGTTGATACCCCGAGAAGCTGCTAAAGCATCTCCATCATTGCTAAATTCCCTTTCACAACACTCAAAAATGAAAAAAAGAAACTTTTGACTTGACTTTTACAAAAAAAGTAGTGGTAAAGATAACAACCTTATTACACATAACTATGACAAACTATCTCCCAAGGAACGTCAAGTTGGTATCAAGGCCTGCTATATTATTTGAAACTAATTGTATCTCGACTCTTCATGAATGATCTAAGTTGTTTAATTTTTATTATTACGAAAACAGTGCACTCTATGAAAAAAACACAAGAGTGATTAATTGAAGGTAACATTCGAAAAACTGTACGTTTCGAAAAGAAAACGGTGGCGTAATATCCTCATTTAGAAAAATCTCCTGAATCTCTGCCACTGGTGCACGCTAAGTTTGAGTAAGGACTTTTGAATGTGGACAATACTTAGGTAAATCCAGATACCAAATTCTAGTTCATTCCAGCTAAAGGTTTTGAAGATAAATATTAAAAAAATGTTATTTATTTTTAAGCTTTAACACCCCGTACCTTTTTGATGAAGCTCTCGAGGAAAAAATGTTACAAAGAAGACCCTCCCTTAAAATGCGGTCCTGTGTATGCTGGATCATTTTTGGTCACGACTTGTGAATCACCCTGTACACTTTAACTGCTGCGGCAATTCTAGGGTCCTGGTGAGACAAGTCAAATTTCTTACCAAGATCTTGAGTAATCAGCGGGTCCTTATTCTGCCCTACATTAGATAAATGTAAGCGATTATTTAAAGCCTTCTGTGATGTAGTTAAGTCATCTTAATTAGAAGTTATGCGCTTAACTAAATCAAAGGACAGATCCATCGACTTCTGTTTCATCAGAAACGCGTTCAGCCAACTCGGTATTATCAGCAGATATTTGAATGCTCCAATTTAGGGCCTAATATACTCTAATGAACCCAGTTAAATACGTAGTATAAGTCTCTCATGGAAAAAGCATCAAAATCATATTTTATGCTTCTTAGTGGTCTTATAGAGATTGACTTTTTGTTAAAAAGGTTGGAGAACAGAGATTGCGCACAATTCAGATTTCCGTATAAGGGTGCTTTTCGATAAATACGCTCCCTTTTTACTATATTAAACGTTGAAAAAAGATTAACTGTAGTGGTCCGAATGCTAAGACGGCTCTGCTGAAGAATTCACATTGTGTGTTTGATATACCTACAGTATCAGAAACGGCCTTTGTAACTGTCCAAGACCAGGAAACTCTTCACTCACATCCCTGGCACTCTGAAGTTCGAATTGAGAATTGTCCATTCTTGAAGCTGTGGAAATCCACAAGCAAGTTTCCCTATATGAAACAACAAGATTATATGCTCATACCTGTTTGTAAAGCTCGGGGACAATTAAAAAATAGTATATTGAATTATGCCACCTTTGACCAAATACTTTCAAGTTTTCAAAACTTAAGAGTCAGATTTTTAGACATTCCTTGAGGCGTGAGGCTTCCTGGGTAACAATGGATCTCTTCTTGAAAACAGAGAAACAATTACGCTTCCTTGAGGAAGGTTCAAGGGGGGATTTAAATTTTCATTCTCTAGTTGGCTGTATTCCTGAGGGAATGGTAATTGTTTTACCGATTCCAAGGAGATATCTGATATTCATGTTGTTCAAAATTTTATAATCTAGAAATTTGTAAAATGTTGAAAATTTCTGTCACAGTCTACTGTGAAAAGCAAATGGTGGGCTTGAAGGTCACTCAACGGTGGATTATCGTGCTTCTTAAATTCAAGGGTTCATCAACCCTCAATCAGCAGTCAGCCCTCAAAAGTCGACCATAAATGTGTGGCTACAATCCCCATCGTACTTGAGCTGTGTGATAATAACGGTAACACACTGTATATCACCGTCTACACTAAACTACTGGGAGAATAAGTGAAAACCGTGGCCATACTGCTATAACGAGCTGTAGCGCGTCTTGTTATTTATGTGATCATAGTGTGCTATGAGAAAGCTGCCGGGAATATAATTTCCCTAAAACGCTTTTTATTATTAAACATGAATATTTTATGGAGGCGTTCTAGATTCAGGCTGAAAGGTATTTACCATAAATGCAAATAAAAATGCGTCGCTGAAAGCTTTTGTTTAGAGTAGGTGTGAATGTAGGAGGGTGCTTATTATATTTTCAGCTATATACTCTTCAAACAAATAGCCTACAAAATTGGAAAATAATAAATATATTTCGTTCTCTCATTTGCCGTGTGGGTTTTATTACTGTTTAGTATTCAACATAGGTATGTTTCACAATTTATCAGAAATTAACCAGATTTCAAACTCCTGATGTTGCTAATGTACTCTGTGAGCCGTTTATAAAGGACACCGCATGTATCTTGGAAACAGTTCGACTCAGAGCGGGTACAACATTTCATAACAAGTGGACATTAGAAACCAGTGTATAATATAGCTTTTTGTGATGACCGCTAAGGGAAAAAAACCTTTTTCACAAATATTCACAATATGCATATATCTAAAATAAGTGTCTTGGCGCATGCGTTGCATTTGTAAACTTATTTATTTTTACTGACTTAAGAAAGGAAAACGACTTAATGTCATTTCAAAAAAGTGATATAACTTTTCTTTCGCCGATTTTAATCATCTGGGCTTCATTTGAAAGGTCTTTGTATCAAGATTCGCAAAAATAAATTTCGACAAACCAAATCTAGTGTTAGCCATTAGGTAACGCCGTCTTTCGCACCTCAAAACTGGTCAAAAAGAACGGCATTATTGTATTTGATTGTAAAAAAGGTCCTTCAAGAATCCCACTAGCTGGTACAAGTCTTAGGTCATTATTATTGGCTATAAAGTTATGTGCAAAAATAAATGAAATATAAAGGTGTAACTGAAATAGAAACGTTATTTAAGCTGTATTAATTGATAGAATGTTCAAAAAGTTGTGCATTACAACAGATTTTCAGGTTTTCGCCCTGGCCTCTAGAGGGCGCAAGTCTAGCCCAAAGATAAAATAACATCGAAATAAGACAGTGAAAAGTGCAATCTATTACAAGAATCGACCTTTGCGAGAGTGAAAACAGTAAACTGTCTATTGGAACTGTTAGCTGGGTTGCTACTGTGGTCGCGATTTGACGCCGATTCTGGTGTTATAGTAAATACAGTCTACTCGCCATTTAACAAACAAGTAATATACATAATATAGCCCTTGTTCGTTCGATCACAGACGGCCAACTATACTCTGAATAAAGGATAGTTGCTCAACTTTCGTTCGTTTTCCTATCTGTGACCAAGCCTATACCATGTTGGGGAGTTGCCAAATAGCACGAAACATCTGTCCATGGTTAGCCGCCTATGGTCGGCAGAACTAACGCTGAATTAATAGTTTATAAAATAACATATATTCTTTTAAAGGATATTTATTACGATTCGTTTATACCTAGAATAGAAATTGTTTTCAAGATGTGACAAGTGACGATGTTGCCGAATCCTTAGCTTACCACGGCAAAGAAATCAGTAGAGCAGATGGCAACCTCTGTTAGAGCTACACATTAATTTTGGTAACAATAGAATGAATTGAGCATCGCAAAAACCGCATAAGTCGCACAATTTGAATTTTTCAGGAGTCAACAAGAGCTGTGTCATTGAGGAATAAACCAGTTTTAAGTAATTTATTAGGCTTAAGATAGTATCTGAATTTCATAAAATAAAATAACCTTCACGTTTTATCAGTAATAATAATGGGAAAAATCCAAAAAACAGCTTGGGACGTTGTTTTAGCAAAAATGGGGTCATTGATATATAACTCGAGCAAACGAATCATATCAATCATATTTCTTATTAACTTCATTATTATTGAAAATTAGATACTTACTAATATTGACATGCTAACGTATATAGGGGGATTCGACGCAAAGCGTAAAAGGTAGACTTGATCGTTAAACCTTCTTCAGTAATGAGCAATCGGCGGTGCTTAGTAAGCCACCCAACAACAAAAAATTGATTTTGCGAGATAGGTGTTATGCGTGTTACTGCATTTCTTATTATTTATAAAGAAAGTTTCCTGCAACATTTAGCATATATTTAAATGCCTTCCTCAGTCATTGAACGAGGGGAATTGAGACAATGCATAGGAAACAACAAAACTCTTCGATAAGTGGTTTCGCTCAAAGCGGCTAAGGCAAAGTAAATACTGTATTTGCCCGTAACCTTGTTTTTGGTAGCTGATGAATTTAAAAATAGTATATTGGTGCATATAGCACATAAACATGAAAATAAAGATCCTGGTGCTGTTTCTGAAATGACCCATTCAAGTACCTGCATCCAAAACCACCCGAACCTATGCTGTTTATGCGGTATTATTTCTCGTGAATGGAATTTAACTCACGGAGGTGTATACCCATGGAGCATTTTTAGTGAAAAAAGCATGTCGGAATAAAATGGAACTAATTGGTTTTTGAAATGATCGATAGAATGTGCGAAAAGCAAGACGTAAGCTGACTTCAAACAATGACAATAATTATCCTCGGTATCGCGATATTAATCATTTCCGGCTGCCCGAAACAACCCGGCGCACACTTGCTTATCGCAACACTTGTTCCGGGGGAATATTTAATGGAAAACCTCGGCGATGGTGAAGGCCGAACACCATTTGTCTTGGCTTCCTTCGACGCGGCCGCCACGCCGACTGCTGCCTGCCTGGCTCCTCAATCAATTTTACTTGCACACTCCAACGCTCTCAACGTGTTTTTATTTATTCTGGTTTTTGCTTGTCTGACCACAGACGGATTATTGGAACTTAGACGTCTTAGCAAGGACAAATATTTGTGCGCCACCGTGCGGACAGCGTTTGAACTAGGTGTATTTTAAGCGCATCTAATCCAACATCTATTGCTGACCTCAGACCAATCAGCATGTTGCCATTAATGTCTATAATTCCAGAACGAGTAGCTTATGCACAGATTCTAGGTCATCTCAATGTGTACAATGCAATCCCCACCCATCAATCAGGTTTTCAGAAGAACTTTAGTACAACTACAGCCCTGCCTTATGACACAAATAGCATCATATCTTTCATGGATAGTAAAAATATGAGCTTGCTGATACTATTAGACTTTTCCACTACTATGGCTCAGGTGGAGTTGTCTGCAACTTTACTAGGTCATACTTAAGCAGGCAGAGGCAGAAAGTAAATGTCAAGAATTATATTTTGACTTCAAAATACATTCAACCAGGTACACCCAAGACTCAGTACTGGAACCGTTGATGTTTTTTCTTTACACTGCATAGTCAGGAGTCCATCATGCTAGTGAATGCAGATCTTGATAGTGTTAATAGGTAATGTACCACACAACTTAAGACAAAATTTTTCGGAATATTTTGACATATTATTTGGCAATAAAATATTATGTAAAAGCCTTAAACAATCAGTTCACATCAACGTCATGAAAAAATTGTATCTATCACTCAAGCAAACAAACATACTCTGCAAAAAAACCCTCGTCTGTCGTCTACTAACGAAAAACGACTGCAAATAATCCGGAATACCTGTGTAAAGTATCGCAAGGATCGCAATTTTCCATGGCTAAGCGATTGAAACCTTTTTAAAATACTCCACTGTAACCTTTACTCACAGCATGGTACTAACATTATCCCCTCAATACCCCAGTTGTAAACTTATTCCAAGGGTGTCCGTGCATGATCTTCAGGTTTGTAACCATTACACCCTCACCATGCTAATACATCGCGTAACACTTTTCTGAAGATCTTTCACTTACTCTGCAATATTGTCTTACAGCAGCTTAGGCCTGGATCAGAAGAATATCCTGTCTTCCTGTAGCTCTAAAGTACAGCTAAAAAGATACAATAATTGCAGAGCAACCGCTAGCTTAAGTTCTTTCATTTTCATGCTCTGCATTTTTGATCAGAGCTATTTTTTTGTTTCTTCATAACCTATTATCTATTTTTCTTTTCACGGCTAAATCGGCATTACTCACCCTATTGTATTGTGACTTAATCCATCTATTTTCACATTTTTTTTTTAGGTTTCATATTGCTAGTTTTTTACAATTTACTCTACTGGAATAGCAGGTGCTTAATCTGGCACTATGTACTGTACCATGTTTTAGTCACTAAAGACGATTATCAACAAACATCTCATGAATTTAGTGGTTTCTATAATGTTGCGCCTTTTGGGTATCACTTATATGGTCTACACTCTATATGTACTCGTATAGGTCAAATGCATTTTGAAGAAAGTGTCGATGCTTACAACTTTATGCTGCTTCAACCATTTGTAAGAAATTTACTTGCTGTTTTGTCTAAAGAAGATGTGATTACAATGTTCTATAAATGTGGGTATTGAAAAAAGTTACAAAAAGTATTAGAAGCATTTTTTAAACTAAACTTGAAAGGCAGGATGATACGCGACGTTCTCAGAAATACTGCCTTCATCCAAATTAGCTGATGCCATAGGTCAAGTTTCGGGTTCTAGTTGACCAATTATCAGTTCTGTGGATTTGACAGAAGATTTCCGGGAAACAAACGAGTGTTAACCTGCGGCGCGGAATCGCACAGCCTGCTGAAATGCTTTAGTTTTAATTATACCCGGAAGTGACGTTTATTGGCTCCTCCTCTCGACGAGCTGACAGCCTGCTGTTGGATTTTGGAATACAAATCAATACCCATTCACTAGATCACTAGCACCGAATTCAACATACTATTCAGTGTTGCTTCCGCTCAAAGCCTTTGTGCCAGGTTTGAAATTATTCGATGGTGATATCATTTCCATTTTCATGAGATAGGATTTTATAACATACAGGGTGTTATTCAATGATAGGCAATAATTAACACTAAATATAAAAGCCGCTTTCCAGTGCTTTTGGATTGAGAGTTGTATGCACTCGAAGTGTGACACTAGCAAATATGCACGGGAACGCAGCGATTAAAACCTACCCTGTTTTTTGATATTTTGCGTTGACGTTGACAGTTTGTGGTCACACTGCTAGACCAGCAATGAAAATGTGAAACACAATTTGCATGTCAAGGATCTGCACTTTTATTGTAAAGCTTCTTTGTAAACATGTGTCTAAGTTATCAGTTTTTTACCATCCTCCATTGTCTGGTATCCGTTTAATGTAAGCTCAATACAAAAAAGGTGAGAAATCATAACCAAACAATCGTGACGCTTAGTCATTTTTATTCGATCCCCTCTATTCCGCAGCGTATGATAACACTGAATAAAAAGCTAGTGCATGAGGGGGCAGGGAATTTCAAAAATGAGTAGCTTTGGTTCATGACACCAAGCAGTGGAACGGTAATCCCACCTGTTGGGCAGTATCGAGTTACTCAGAGTAACACAAACGAGGCACTGGAAAGCTAAGTTGAGAAATTCATATAAAAATATATCATCAAATGTCTGGCTCTTCGGGTCAAAGTTCAAAGAAAAAATGTCCTTTTATAAATGTCTGATTTTTTTGTTGATTCTATTGAATGTTGAATGTTCATCACAATAAGACGCTGAGATAGCACTATCTATAAATTTCAGTGATTTCTCGGGGGTTGTCTCACGAATAATATTGGGACAAACAATTGACACCACTGATTTTTTTAAGAAATATATATATAATGATACAAGTTTTTTGTTTCTAGGTATCTCTTCGAATCTTGCCTTGGCTTTGAGAAAAAAGAAAAACAACTTCAACACATGTTGAAAGATTGTTGAAATGAGATCAAATTAAATTTTATCGGAAATGTTGTTCTCTAGTTATTAACACAGTTTGGTCTTTTCGTAGCACTTTTTATATTGTCTCTATCAAAAACCGTTGCTTCCAACTTTGACTCACACTTTCTGGGAAACCAAACCAACAAATCAAATTAGCAAGCTGAAGTAAAATGATGAAACTGACGCATGAATACTATATCTTAGCGCAAAAGTCGCAGCTGAACATTACAAGGGCTGGGCGGAATCTTGGACAATTTTGTAAAAGGAATGGAGGCTCATGTGAACTTTATTTTGAAGCGCTTCCCTTTATAACCTTAACATATAAATACACAATCTTTTGCCAAGATTGTGCACAATGAAACTCAAAATTGATACAAAATCATTAACTGAATAATAACAAGTTCTGCCAGAAATGCTTGCACACATTTCGTGGAAGAGTTACTACAAGGTTTTGATATAATTAGGTAGTTGATTGCTTATGGCGGCACACATTCAGGGTGTTTCCACTCAGGACTTTTACGGCTTAGGTTGTAATCACCAATAGGTACGTCCTTATTGTTGCTAACGCTGTATTTTTGCTGATCCTCAATGTATATAAACTTATTATGATTATTTTTAACGAATACATAAACCTGGAGAATGTCAATAGTTGATTTAACTGAAAGGTAGTTCTACAAGCCTGAAGAGGGATCAACGAAAATATTAACCGTATGAATATGAAAACGCGCTGAGTATCCACAGGGTAATCCCAGCAGAAGACAAGGTATTTCAAATGAGGATGCAAGATAAAAATCAGTAAATGCTTAGTACTTATTATATTTTTGAGTTGAGCAACGCAAAATACGCTGGACTGAGTTTTTTCATGACATGATCTAGATGATCTCTCCAGTTTTATCTACTATAACCCGTAAAAACTTTGTGCAACTCTGTAGATCCAAATATATAATAAAATAATTTAAAAAAATGTAATTTTCTTGAACGGGCGTATTTCATTACACATTGAGGTAGTTGCTTCCAAGACAAGAAGATTGATATGTTATAGTTAAATTGTTTGCGTCTAAATGTACAGAACCTTGACGGCCCACCAGTCTGTCATTTAGATACTAAATTTATTCTCTAGGGTTATAAAGTACACATATCCTTTCCGCTAAAAACAAGAATGACAGCTATGCATTCTTCCTGAAAAATATTCTTCGGAAAACCCAACCATATTAAACTCGAACAAAGCGAGGTTGCCGGCAAACCACGATATCGTTATTCACCTCGTGCCGGCACCTCTACAATGTACTCAATTTCTACCTTAACCAGAACAATAGCTCCTATTTCTATCCTAATTCCGGATTTGAGGCGCTCCAGCCGCAGCACGCCGCTCCGTGTCCCACGCTTGACGCTCTCCAACCACTCACAACTCATGAATTAATCATCTAGAGATGTGGCTTACTCACACGGCCCGTATAGTCGGAGAAATACGTTTAGGAATCGTCATTACTCGTATCGAGAATAAGAGACACTATGACGATGTCGCCAGCATCCGAGGGTGAGTTTTTAATTTAGGCGGTCGATAAATGCGATAGTATTAAAAAAAATTAACTACACGAATAGTAGCCAGCAGTCCGCTCTCTACTCATATTTTTGTTTTTACAGTGTAATTCGTAACTGGATGGTGAGTCAAACATTCATTTTTTAAATATAAAGACCTAGATTTTATTGCAAATTCGGATAGGTGCTTTCCAACGAAGCAAGTTGACATGACATACCAACTATTGGGTTCTATTCTGAAAACACTCAAGAACTTTGACAACTTACTTCTCCGCAACTGTCATCGCTAGAGAACTGGATTCTTCTTCAGAGAAGCTTTATCATCCCATACTTTTCTAATTAATCTACTTGCTTCTTCACCTTTTTGGTTAGTTATTCAAGGCGGTCAATAACGAAAAATGATAGATTCCTCAAAATGTACACCCTGTTTGTTTTCACTCTTCTTGATTTCCGTTTTCACGTGCACACTGTTGGCTAAAATCCTTCTATTAAACTTTTTCCGATATCCGGTGTAATAACGAAGACCTAGCCCACAATAAGAACTCACCCTGAATATATGTCAACTCTCGATGTGACGACTAGTGGAGACTGACGCCAAAATTTTGTCTGCCATATATCAGAAAATGTTAGCTGGCACCGGATGCCGGCAACATCGCCATGGCGATCCAACGAGGAAACGCCTTTATGAAAAATGGAATAAAGCAAATCCAAGTAGCTTATGTACTGAAATTTAAAGACTTCAGCGCACATGCCAGATATCACAACTGTAGTAGAAGTGACACCACCATCTGTCAGTTGTACAACTGATTACTACGTATTCTAATATTATACTGGCTATTCAATGATACCAACTTTGTTTCTACTGTTGCACAATGCATGATTATGAATAAGCAGATAGGAGCATAGTTTACTTGAAGACTAGACGTAGTTGTTCATATTGTTCTATATGCAAATAATCTGTAGTAATTGTATCTTCTTTTGTTTTAGGTAAGTTCTGATTCAGTGAGTCAGGCAGCTCATGATACGTAAGTACCTATTATGCCCAAAAGAAAATTAAAAGACTAGTTGGCCTATTCTAGTTCACACCCACTAATCTTCCTTCCTGGGGAAGTCGATTAGCTTATTACGACAGGCTTATTTCATATCCCATGAGTATTGCATTGTACCACCAAATAGATCATATCAGATAGAAGCTGCCTACATTGCCAAGCGCTTCGTACAAATGGTTTGTCAAAGCTTCAGCATATACACCAAGACTAACAGAAGGCCTCCTATCTCTATGCTGATGAAACTGCCCTGGTGGCTAAAACGTGTTCTGGGAATCTAGTCCAGGATGGGCTGCAAAGTGCAGTGAACGAGGTATTGGAATTGGCGGATTGGTGGCTGCTCAATATTAATCATTTAAAAACGCAGGCTATATACGAGAATTGTAAGTCAGGGTGATATGGTGAACAAAAAAAATTAAGCTATGTAAAACCCAAGAGAATGTTCATTCAAACAAAATAAAGTCACTTATTTTCCACAAAATATGTTGGCAACAACATGACAATGTCATATCCTCTTTAACGCATTTCTAAAGTAAAAAAACACCTTAATTATTTTTAATTAATTCGCCATTTCACCCAGGCATATGGGTGAAAAGGTGAATGCATATTGGGTGAATTGGTGAGTTTCCTTTTTTTGCTTTTTACCACATCACATATCACACGTGGATTCGTATTTTGAACAGTCTTCGTACAGCCATCATTGGCAGCTAATACATTTGATTCAATCCAATCCGTTTTAGTGCAACTAACACACTACCTAAATCTGTCTTCATCGTACACGTCGTCATCATCATCTTGCAAGGGGATATCTAGCGATGAGTCGGATTCGGTTTCAGTGGTAGGCGGTTTTCGTTTTATGAGTTGCTTGATGTTAGTATTTCGTTTGGTAGTCTTTGTGGTTGCGATTCTTTCTCTGACTTTCCTTTTCGCATTTGCTTCACCTTTAGATGGGGAATTCAAAACCTTCGCTAAAGCTGTGGAATTCTTCTTTACAGATGTAATTTCATCTAATTTAGGTACCGGCGAAATTTGATCCAAAACTCTGCTAGGGGTTATATGCGGCATTTTTGTTGGAGCCAGAGCTAACACTTCTTATGATAAATCCATGTGGCTTTTCCGTGCATAGCGAGCAGCCCAGTTCTGGTGAGGCATAGGATTATTTTAAACATTCAAGCACTGGAAAAACCTAGTTCAGATTCAAAGAAATACTTTACACGTAAGAAAAAGTCTTGGCCAAATCACCCATGCTCGAATTCAACATTTCTCCCACTTGTCATGGGTGAAATGGTGAATAGAGTGGCGAAGAGATCAGAATATTAAAAGCAATGATTTCTAGGCTTTGTACCATATAAACAGGCAGATATTGAGCCGTATTCACAAAATAGAAGCATACGGTCTTGCTTCGGAGAAACAGGTAGAAGTATAAGCATATCTTTGTTTTCATATTCATAATGATTACCTTATAATCGCGAGGATATCCTCCAAGAAGAAGTAAAAGGTTGACCGGTATTTGTATTTTGAGTGATATGTCCTGACTTGTTCCAGCTTGTAGTTGACGTGAGAGTTCGTTCACTCAGCATCACTGACAGCTGTACTCCAGAGCTTACACAGATCGTTCCGTATTTTTATTGGATACAGTTTTTTATCAAACTAATAAGCATGTCATCCTCAAGTGATGAGAAAGCTACAGAAAATAATGGCAACGACCTGCAGTTCATCGCAGATGAAACTGCCATTGCTCCCATTATTTTGTAAAAGTCAAGTTCCAAAAATAAAAATGAGAAAGGACGATGCCTTGAAGAAGATGTTGAAAAAATCAGAATCAACATTCGGTAAACCATTAGATACTAAAGACTTATTAAAAAAAATCAACAACATGAAATCAAGATTGAAGAAAAAAAAAACAGATATAAAAAAACTGGTAATAAAGCAATTAAATTGTTAGATTGGTCAAGAAAGTTGCCGAAAGCTGTGGAAGGTGACTGTAATGCTACAATTGGGAAAATGAAAATTAGAGGTGGCATTCAGGTTGGTAGTGTTCAAGAAGAGGGAAGTGAACTATATACCGAGCGCAGTGAGCAAACAGTTAGTATTACAGCGCCAGCAATTCAGAAGACATTGCCACCAAAAAGAAAATTAACAACAGAGAAACTGAGGAAACCAAAGAACTGCAACGTCTAGAGCTATTACAGCAGTACCAAACAAGTATTTTCACCAAGAATATATATAAAGCGAAATTAGAAATGATGCAGCTTCAAAAGCCACCTGTAACTTATGATCTTCACGAAAATAAGACTTATTGTAACTTATAAATACACTTTAATCAATAAAACTATTTAATATAATACTCAAGTTTCTTCTTATTTGTTGACCTAGTTGGCCGAGAGGAAGTTCGTCATTCTCATGATGTCCTTCATCTTCATCTGGGTCTTGTTCAACTAACTCAAAGTCAGGATCGCCCAAGGTCTTCGCAACATTATGGAGTACAATACAAGCAATCATTATTTTCGGCATATTTTACAACTTTACGCGGCAAACATACTGTATGATAGGAAACCGGCATTTCAGTTGGCCGTAACACCGTTCAATTAAAAATCTTTCTTGCTTTAAAAGCTTATTATAATTTATTTCTGCACCTGGAGTAGGATTTCTGAAGGGAGTCATTAGGCATGGCTCAATACCATAACCGTCATCGCCAAGTAGTACAGCATTTGCTTTATTTATTAGTAGTGATCTAGACTGTGAATTTCTCCATATTCTGGAATCATGCACTGATCCGGGCCAACTGACATCACCACTTGTGAATATCTCTCTAGCATCACAAGTGGCTTGCACATTTAAAGTAGGTTTCTCTTTTCGGTTGATATACTCATCTCCTTGGTGATTTGGTTTCAGGATTCCTATATGTGTACAATCAATTACACCAATTGCTGCCGGAAGTTTATACATGTTTTGCCATATCCGCTTGGTCTCCATCAGTTCATGGTCGGTAGTTGGCAACTTGATCCATTCGTTCGACTGTGCATCTATGCTGTTCACAACTCTATCCACAGTCCGAGATAGCGTTGCTTGACTAACACCAAGTTCCTGGCCAATACCTTGCTGATATCGAGGGTCACCGAGACAGCGTAGACATCTTCATTTTATGAATACATGAAAGTGCTCCTCCTCGAGTTTCCTCATTCTTAACTAAAAATCTGTCCGCAAGCCATTGTACATTTGCTTCGTCGAGCCGATATAATTTTCACGACCAAGTGAAGGTAAACGAGGTTTGTACGTTTTAACATTCCTAACATCCACAATTTCCGCCTCATCGTTTGACCACCTTTCGTTACGAAGTTGAGTCTGCTACTGACCACACTCAGAATTTTTGAAGGATATGCTTCCTATGCCAAGTGTAAGGTGAAGATTATGATTATCCTTTTACTTATGTTACTGCTTTGAAGGATATGCTTATACTCAAGAAGTAAAAGCATTTACTTCAAATTATTATATGTACCTAAATACCATCTGGAGGATTTCCTTCAAAATTTGCAAGTACAATGATATCCTTTGTTTTATGAATACGGTTCCATATCAAAAAAACACAGCGCAGTCTACGCTACCTGAAGCAATATCTACAAATGCATGCATCGTATGAAAATTATTGAGCACCAAAAACAGTTTTTTACAAATAACTTACGATTTTTAAAACAATGGTTGTTTTCATGAGGTGCACGCAACACATATGATAATAAACTGTCGCCATTCAGACATCTGCATTCTCGATGAAGAACTAGAGCATTTCACCATTTCATCCGATGCACCATATCACCCTGAGTTACCCTA